CTCTGTTACCTCCCTCTAGCAAAAGATTATGCACAACATTGTAGTGAAAAAAAAATCTACTTTTTTTCCTCGATGTGTTTTTCTCTGCTCTCTTTCGATCTCATCTATAAGTTTCATATACCAAAAGATGCAGCAGATTCTGCTCTTTCTTTTGGTAGGTGACTTCGAAAGAAAAGACTAAACTATGGTTAAGAAAAAGGAAGAATACAAAGGGGGTAAATTCTATTGAGCTGCACTGTATTTGATTAAAGTAAAATATGAAAAAGTCTTTTTGATCATCTCTGGATCCGTCATAGATAATCTCATTTCTCTCTTTTATGAAATGCCTCAAGTGATATCGATATATATCTTTGATAGCGACGAATCCAAATATATACAATGGGATAAATTCAAACCTGAATTAAGAAATTCGACATACAAAAAGGAGCGAGGAGTTTTCACTCGAATTGAACCATTATGTAACGAGCTCAAAGTTGACGTTCATGTGTCAGAAAACGCTTTGACACCAATCAGTCTTATCCCATCATTTTCGACAATAGATCTCAATAAACTGGATTCATCATTTATGTATTCTCAATTGCTCAAAGAAATTCTTCTTGAAGACGAATATGATGAACAACAAAAGAAAACACTGGTTAATTTTTGCCGCGATCATTATGCTGGTAATAATTCTGAATTAAAAATAATCGATGAATTCGAGCAAAAATACCCTGAACCATCGGATATTTGGTGGTATACGCGTGAATGTTTTCTTTATCGAATGGTCAATAAAGCTTTGCGAACACAAGACATCGAAGTAATCATGAAAATGGGATTTTTTATTCGGGGTCTTCATCAACACATTGAACAATTTCATTCACAACAAATATATCAGAGATCATTGATCGTTTATCGAGGACAAGGAATGGCTCAAACCGAATTCGAAAAAATCTACAGCAACAAAGGTGGCCTTCTCGCTTTCAATAGTTTCCTATCCACTTCCATCGTTCGAGATGTTTCGTCAAGATTCGCTCATGTTGCTCGAGATAAGTATAACCTTACGGGTATTCTCTTTATAATCAAGATCGATCAACTTCAATTCAATACACCGTTTGCTTCCATTGACAACTTCAGTTACTTCAAAGGTCAAGAAAAAGAAATTCTCTTTTCGATGCACGACATCTTTCGAATTGAAGAGATCAAACAAATTGAACCAAAATTATTCCAAATTAATCTCACTCTCACCAATGACAATGACCAACAACTCGCTGAACTGACTAAGTATACACGAGAAACGACTCGAGGACAAGCAAGAGTTCACCGATTGGGTTCATTGATGATCGCAATGGGCGAGTTTGACAAGGCCGAAGAAATCTATATTACACTTTTTGACAAAACATCTGACAACGAACGAGAAGAACTCGGCTTTCTTCACAATCAACTCGGATTGATCAAGTGGGAGAAACGAGATCTGTCGGGTGCGCTTTCTCAGTTCCAGCAATCTCTCGACATCTACTTGACTCTTCAATCATCAAATAGTCCTAAACTGTCTTCTCTCTATGCCAACATCGGTACTGTTCTTCAGGAGAAAGGCGATCTCGATAATGCATTAAAACACTTAAAATTTGCTCTCAACATCGATGTTCACGCACCCCACGTCTCTCCGCACCATATTGCTACTCGACACAATAATATTGGATTGGTGCTCGACAAACAAGGCCAATATGAGGAAGCACTCAAAAGCTATCAGCGTGCGCTCGAAATCGAACTCGTTTATCTTCTTCCTTTTCATCCATTGCTCGCTAACACTTACAACAATATTGGTTTAGTTCATCAAAAGATGGGAGATAACCCAACTGCACTCATTTACTATCAAAAAACACTTGAAATCTTCGAAAGATCTCTATCACCAAATCATCCATCATTGGCTACCATCCATCACAACATGGCATATGCATTCAACCACATCCACCAAATTAGAAAAGCAATTGAACATGCTAAACAAGCTGTAGACATTGGTCGTCGCTCACTCAGCTCTGATCATCCTCTAGTGCAGCAATATGAGCAAGATCTTCGTGAACTTGAACGACAAGTGTAATTTTATTTGTCAATATGCAGCACATTTGTTCACCTGAACACATAATTAATAATATTTCTGTTTGCCGTCTGTTTGAAGGCTTTGACCGAATTTTCTCTTCTCATCGACAAACTCATCACATCGGCTAAGTTCCATGAAGTTATTTTAGTTTCAATCTCAGATGTAATTCTTTCTTTCAAGTACACCCACGCCCACACCCCCAAGTGTAAGCCCATAATAAACTACAGTATTAAAAAAGTGTTCCATTTTATTTTCATAATTTAAT